GCCCTGGGGAGGGAGGGGCTCGGAGGATCAGCGGACAATCGGGTATCGGTGGCATCTTCCTCCAGCTCCCATAACAAATCCCAGCCGGAGGAGAGCTCTGGGGGAAGCACTCGCCCTCCGGGTGAGTTGCTGACGTTTGTATCCCAAGCCAAGGGGTACGAATTTCCGCAGCCAGAGGGTTCTTCTGTATGAGCGACCCTTGGGTTCGCAAGCCCATCCGTCCGCGAGCCACACTGGCGCGTGGCTAACGAACAGGCCAGCAGCAGACCAGCGAATCAGGCGGCCCGGGCGGCGCGTCACACCCAGTAACGCATGGAATGCAAAAATGTCGGGGCCGAGCTGCCGGAGCCAGAGCCCGTGTCGGTGCCACCTTCTCCGTGAGATCCGGCAGCGGCTTGTGGCCCAGGAGCTCCCACTCAGGCGGTCGTTTGTGGAGCCGTCCCAGGCTGCCTTGGTTTGCTGGCTCCACTCTAGCTCTGCAGACTCCTGGCAGGACTGCACCACGTGCAACGGGCCTGCCCCCAGCCCTCCGGGGGAGGAAACATAGGTCAGGACGGCACCTGCTTTTCGTGCAGGCGGCCCCGTGACCAGGGGACCTGCCCGCCTGCAGTCCCGGAGTGGCGGAGTGGAGATGTTTCTGCTGTTCCGGCCTCCGCCTGTTAAGGGCGGCGGAAAGCCTGCCGGATCAGGCCCTGCCCGCAGGATCCCCCCACAGCATGGGGGCAAGACCCCCGCCCAAGCTCCGCAGCAGCTGCTGCCTCTGGCAGAGGAGGGAGCGCACGGCCAGCAAAGGCTCTCAGCAGCCTTTCGAGTGGGGCAGGCAGGTCACAGCAAGCCTCCCCCCCTCTGTTCCAGGATCTCCGTGGATCAGGATCCACTACGAGCAGCCCCCGCTGAGCGAGGCGGACCGACTCCACCTGCAGGGGGCCCTGCTTCTGGAGGAGACGGAGCCCTTTGTGCCCGGCCCGAGGGTGGCGAAGATGATCCTCCCGCAGACCCCTGTGGGGGGGCAGTGAAGGGGGTCTGAGCCGCAGCAGGCGTGCCCCATGCCCAGGGGCCAGGACAGCGGCTGCGCTGCGCCAACACCCCACGCCCGCTTCTGCAGGACGGCCCCCTTGCCCCCCGTGGGCGGGAGGGGTTTCTCCCCCCGCTCTCTTCCCCGCACGCCCCAGCAGAGGCCGGGGCGCTATCTCCAGCAGAAGGACCCCCTCGCGCGCCTTCGCCCCTGCCCCAGCCCCAGCTTGAGGGGTGCGTGCAGTTCGAGTGTGGAGCAGCCTTCTCTGACCTAAAACCGCGGCCAATAAACGCATCTGGAGCTTTTCCCGTCTGCCTCCGGCCTCGTTTATTCCCTCCAGCGCGGAACACGGGGCGACCTCCTCCACCCCAGGCAGCTCTGCCGGGCGTCCGAGCGGGCGCCCCCTTCCCGTTGAAGGCGCCCCCGCGGACCTGCCGGCACACGTGGCGCTTGGTTTCCGGCGGCCGAAGCCGGACCCTCGCCGCGCTGCTCAGCCGGGAAGGGGGTGGCCAGCCACGCAGGCCGGGAGGGGGCTTGGAGCGGGGGGGCACTCCCAGCAAGAGGAGGGCTGGGGAGGAGAGGACTGGCGGGCCACGAGGGCGGGGTGGGGGGCAGCGCGGTTCACTGCTCCTTCCGCCCTGCAGGCTGCTGCAGGCGCCTCGGCCCACCCCGATCCCGGCAGTGGCCGGCTGGGAAGGGGAGCGCTGCTCCGTGGCTCTCCTACCGAGGAGCCCCAGCCAGCCGCTGGGAGGGGGCCGGAGCCAGTCCTCCGACCCCCCCGGCCTCGCTCAGGTAGGCGAGAGTGCCTGCCGAAGGGTTCCATGCCCGATATTTGACAAACACCCCAAACGCCAACCGTGTCTTATGTGCAAGTCACCTCACCCACCAGACGATACGGCGCTCAGCCGCGGCCGGAAGGGATGGCGAGGGCAACGCTCTGCAGAACGCGAAGTGGCTTTTATTGCACCCACGCAGGCAAGCGTGGGGTCGCGGGGGCCGCTCCCGGCTCAGGCGAGCGCCGCTTTGCAGAGGCACCGGTTCTCCTCGCGGCAGTCCTCGATGCCGACCTGGCCGCCGGCCAGGAAGATGCAGGCCTCCACGGGCAGGGAGGGCTTGTTCCGCAGCACGGGCCTGCCGGGGAAGGGGAGCCCTGCCTGTAAATGCCCTTCGGGCCTCTGAGCCGCTCCGCTGCCGCAACGGGTTCCAGCCCGGTTCGAGTCCCCGCTCGGCCATGGAGCCCGCCAGGTGGCTTCGGGCCAGTCACAGACCCTCAGCCCAGCCTACCTCACAGGGCTGCTGTTGTGGGATAAGATGGAGGAGGAGAATGATGCAAGCTGCCTTGAGCCCTTTGTAGGGAAGAGACAGGATATAAATCGAGGGAAAGGGAAAAAAAAACCCAACGGGAGGCCCGGGCTGCAGATTGGGCTTGCTGTGGCGTGCGGTCAAGCTGCCCCCGGCGTGGGGCGCCCCCACGGCATCCTGCCCGCGGCAGCCCTGCTCAGCCCTTGGACTGGCTGCAGGAGGGCGCCTCAGCCTGGACTTGGCAAGAGCTGGGCAGGACGCCGTGGGGCCCTGCTCCGCGGGGGCACCACCGGCCCGAGACGACTGGATCACAACAACATCCTGTTTCAGAGCCTCCCGTTGTTTTATTCCTCGATGTTACAGCAGGTAAAGGAAGCGCACTGTGAGGATTTCATGCATCACTGGCTGCATTTCCTTCTTATTTGCTCATCAAACATTTCATTCAAATATTTTTGGGTCTGGGTTATCTCCGGAATCTTGTGGGCTGCTTAGAAGCAGGAAAAGTCCGACCGCATCCAACAGGCCACCTGGGACAAACATGCAGAACGTTTTTCTGTTCTCACGTTGTGCCACTGGTTAATTATATTCATTTTTAGCATACGCTCAAAGGTGTATGTCAAAAATCAGTATAAGCGCCTAAAATAGCAGAGAAAGACAATCATAAACAGGCCACCTGTCTGAGGACAAAAGCTTTCACAGAGTGCTGAAGTGTGGGGTGCCAGACCTCACCAGGCCCCCAAGCCGAGAGGGGGGGCTGCAACTGTGCCCCCCCCCCCACTGAGAAAGCTGCAAAATGTGCATCGCTCGGGCAGCTTTTCAGTTTTGGCTACTACGTGCGATTCGAGCACGCTAAACCAGCTCCCGGCTCCTCGAGATGCCAAAAGAGGCTCAGGGGCAAGAGGTCCTGGGAAGGCCCTGCCCCCGCACCTATCTGGCTGCCAAATCCTCCGATCCCGCAAAGGATCCCCCTTCCCCTTCCCCGCCCTCGGTGCTGCAGTCCCTGCCAGGAGCCGATGGGGGGCGGGGGGGGGGCGCGGGGCAGGGAGGGACTCACAGCCGCAGGTGCAGGTTCTCTCCGTCCGCCCAGTGCCAGACTCTCTGGGTGAAGTTGTACTTCAGGCCGACCCAGTAGTGCTCGGGCGCGTGCCAGCTGCTCTGCCCGCTGAACCAGTGGAGGGACTGCAGCAGCAGGACCTGCTGTGGGGAACGACGGAAGGGGCTTAACATTCGCCCTCCCTACAAGCCCCCGCCCTCAAGATGGCCACTGGAGTGACGTCACCTGTGTGACCATGGCACGGGGGGCCAGCTGCGTCTTTGCAGTCCAGCCCCCCGACCTGTGATTTTCTGAACCTCAAAGCTCAGTGTAACATTCTGCAGAGCTGATGCATCTGCCATGACGTGGAGAAGGCTGGTTTTCGGGCAAGATGGCTAGCAGCCGCAGTAACTGAACTAGCCCTCCTCATTCAGGGGCCGCGATGCGCCCCGACGGCAGCGGCGGGGGGTAAAGGAAGGGCGCCTGCACCCAGGCTGGAAGGCAGACTGGGATGGATCAGAACTGCCAGTGCCACCCCGACTCCCTCTTCCTTTCCCCGCGGCCCCAGAAGAACTGCAGCACGGCCTCACTGCAGGGCCGAGCGATTGCCCGCCCACTGGGGGGAACAGCACAGGACTGCCGAAGCAGTGACGAGGGTTCAGCAGGGCTTCATGGCTTTCTCCTGTGTTTTCGTGTCCCCCTAAATACTGGATGTTAAAATCTGGCGCTGACATGTTAAAAACTCAAGACATTTTTAAAAACCCACTTAATCCAATGCAGTTCCCCTTCCAGACAGACAAAAGGCAGCGAAACGCAAAGCACTGTCACCATTTCTCCGTCCGTGGACCCGATCAAGAGGCTGGCCCTGGCTTCCCGGCAGAGCGCGACGCACCGCGTCCAGGTCGCTGCCTCAACGGTGCGCAGGTAGCAGGCGTCTCCCCACTGCTGCCAATTTGCCTGGCAGGGTTTGCAGGTCAGACCTGTGGGGACGAAGCGCAGGGGTGAGGCTGATGCTCAGCTCTTGCGCTCCCCGTGCCCCCGGCTCTGCTCCCCGACAGTCATGGGCTGGGGCAAAACCCCCATTTATGGCTTGCCTGTTTAGAAACCTTTTCAGCATCACAAGGTCTGGTTCTCGGAACCTGCTCTGGGTTCATCGTGCAAACGGCACTGCTGGCCAGGCTTGCTTTGTAGCGTTTCCCTGGACTAAAGGCCTGACATGGCTGGACGCTGCTGGGAGGGGAGTGCCAAACGCCAGAGGCAGCTCGGCACCTGCTGCCACCGGCTGATCCCCTCTGCGTGGCTTCGGTGTGGCCACCTTTCCGTGGCGAGGCCAGTTCAGCTGGCCTTTCGAAGCCCAGCAGAGCTGGAGGCCCTGGCATGCGGAGACCGGAGGACCGATGCGGGCAAACAGGGAGGAATTCGAAGGCCGAGGGCACCAGCCCCATGGGGCAGCTTGGGGGCACCTGCCGAGCTGGCTGGTGAGAAGTGGGGCCAGCACCCACCGTCCCGCTGCCCATGGCAAAAACGAGATGTTGCCCCCCGTGCGGTCAAGAAAGGGGTGCGTCTTCTCCCCGGGGACTGCAGCCCCCCTTCCTGCTCGCGCTGTGGCCACTGTGCCTGCATGGGGGGCGGGGGGCTGTGTTCCCCTGGGACGACGCCTGCAGGCAGCCCACCCCCCTGGGCTTGAGCAGCCGCACGCCACAGTGGCAAGGCGGTGCAGCTGCAGCAGGTTGGCTGCTTCTCCTATATTGCAGTCCAGAATCTAAAATCGGGTATTAGATTTCCTTGCTCCAAAATGCCGCACGAAAGTGGTTGGAAAACACGGCATGGGCCCTGGGGGGGGGGGGGGGGAGGCCACGAAGGGGCCCTGCAGACCTCTGTGCGCGAGGTGCCACGAGGACACAGCGAGGGCGTTTCTGCTTGACTCTGGATGCCCCCCAGTTGCCAGCGCTCCCTGGGCAGCTCCCAAAAGCCCGAGACCAGCAATGGCACAGCTTCCAGCGACCAGGTGCCCAAATGGCAACCCAAAGCCCACTTCTTTATCACAAAGCGCCAACACTGCAATAAAACCTGAAAACTGCGGTTTTAGTTTAGAAAAAACAACTCACAGCCAGGCCAAGCAAATACATATATATATCCCTGGCAGTGCATTGACCGGCCATGCGAAAGCTCAGAGGAATCGCGGCTAATGAATCGTGGTTCGGGACATCATCACCTGGTGCCACTACTCCAACCATCAAAATCACGCCAGGACACTTTGTTTTTCTAACCCTAACTCTTCCCTGGTGCACACCCCTAACCCTAATATAGGGGTAAAGTTACATTGAAAAGAAGGTGATTTTGAAAAAGCCTTCCTTAAGCAGCTTTTTCTGAGCAGCTCATCATTTCTGCTCTTTCTAAACACATTCCAACCTTCAAACTCCTGCCAGGACACCTCCTTTTTCTAACCCTAACCCAGTGAGGGCAAACGTTTTAGAGACCAAGTGCCCAAACTGCAACCCAAAACCCACTTACTTACCGTAAAGTGCCAACACTGCAATAAAACCGGCAAACAGCCAGTCCAAGCAAATATATCTATATATCATTGGCAGCGCATTGATCGGCCATGCGAAAGCTCAGACTAGTCGTGGCTAATGAGTCACGGCTTGTGGCATTGTTGCCTGGCACCGCTACTCCTTCCCGAGCGTGCGCATGGCCCCTGTGTGCGCTGTCATCCGATGCTCGGCTGCTGGGGCGCTGCTGGGGCGACTGGGCTCGCGTGCCGACAGAGAGGGCTCTGCAGGCCCGCTGCGGCACGTGTGCCATAGGTTGACCACCACTGCCCTAGACCGACATGAAGGACATTCACGCCAGAGACGTTTCCAAGATGTTCCTCACGGTGTCGTGTGCCAGACTGGGCATGGAGAGGCCCCGATCCAAGCCACTGCTCAATATGAGGCTGCCTGGGTGACCGCGAGCTGGTCCCTTTTT